CTTAGCCTTCTTTATATAGTACTATGTTCAATTTTTAATGGAGATGAAGCCAAAACTCATTGTTGCATGAATTCTCACGAGGGCCGGGGCCGGCTTTAATGTAATACAAGGTGGTTCTTGTTATTCTCGTTCTCATAATATCTTTGTGCCTCGATACTGGTTTTGTGACATTTATAGCAAGGATGCCATTAGGAATTTGATCCATTCTACATTTTCAAGAAATCTTTAAGATACTTTATTTAGACTAGAATGATTGTATTATTTAATTTGCTATCGGGTTGCAATTTAAATAAAATAGAATGATGAGAGCTCAAACTATATGGAATTAGACTTATTATGTTCATCAAATTATTTATTTACTTTATGTATAATTTAGCAGGATCCTTCAATTATTGCACATCTAAATTAATCATAATTTTTATAAATTTGAAATATTCATGAAAATACAATTCTTTAATTCAATCATAAATGATATTTTTGAACAAGCTTACACATCAATGTCAACATTAGAATACTCAATCAAGAGTAATAAATAAATAAATAAATCAGGTTTCCAATCCATTAAATCATCCAACTTTTATATCATAACCTTGTCTAGAAACATAATTTTGAGCCTTGCATAGACATTTTACTTTTGGAATATTTTTTTGTTTTTTTTTTAATTTCATATTCTGAAAATACTTCCAGCCAATTAAATTAATTACCTTTCTCTTATATGTGGAGTAGAGTGTAGTTACGGTTGTTTTTCATTTTTAATATATGTTTAATGATAATTAATTATATTGGATGTTTATAAACTAAACATATTTTTCTCACTTATTCAATGTAAAAGCCCAATCTAATATTTTTTTAAAAAATAAAAAATAAAAAATAAAAATCATGAGATTACATAATCTCCTTATTATTCAAACTTATTTTCCCCTGAAATGTCTTGGACAAGATTAGTAACTGAGCAACTTAGGCTGATCCAGCAACACATAGCCATTGTCCCACAAAGAGAGCAGTGCAGTTGAGATTAGGGTTGATAGAATCAAAGAGTGTAGTGGTCAAATTGAACAGCTGTGTAATGCCAAAGCAGGTGTCATCACTCCTTACTCCAAATACTTCATCACATTCTGGAGTTCTGGGCTTCAACAAACCACCCCCAACTGCTCAACAACATAAAACAATGGTATTGCATATATCTTATTTAAACAAAAGATATTAAAAAGAAGAAGAAGAAGCTTAATTATAATAGGAAATCGGAGTAGTCTTTTATCTTTATATATCTTTACAGTGACGATCAATTCAATCTATCATGATAATACGACTAGACCGTCTCACCACTACACTGTAAAGTTACAGTAAAGTAGTTGCAGGTGCAATATCAATTTTTCTTACTATGATGCTAAGTAGTTACCATCAAGAAAGCGGCTTTCAGCCATGGCGAAAATGAGAAGCAGAGAGAGCACCAGAATTGAGCTTAAAAACAATGCTGAGTTGTGGTTTGCCTCAGCCATTTTAAGAATGACTCTTTCTTCCTCCCCTTACTAGTGGATAGTCAACAGTGATGTCTTCTCTTCTGTGGGATGTAGCTTCTCATAACTTAGCCTTCTTTATATAGTACTATGTTCAATTTTTAATGGAGATGAAGCCAAAACTCATTGTTGCATGAATTCTCACGAGGGCCGGGGCCGGCTTTAATGTAATACAAGGTGGTTCTTGTTATTCTCGTTCTCAGAATATCTTTGTGCCTCGATACTGGTTTTGTGACATTTATAGCAAGGATGCCATTAGGAATTTGATCCATTCTACATTTTCAAGAAATCTTTAAGATACTTTATTTAGATTATTAACCTTTTCAATGTGTTTTTTTATTAAATTATAAAATAAAAATTCAAACTAAAAAAATCTCTTAAAAAGGAAAAACTAATGCCACTTAAAATACTTTTTTTTTTTAATTTCAAAGTAATATAATCTAAAATCATGTACGTACAAAAAGTAGCCTTATACCAATTAACACAAATGGGTTAGGAGATGCTACCCCCATGCTTAAATTTTCTAGTATTTATTTATTTAACGAGCGTATTTAAAAGTATGATATATAGAATTTTGATGTTTTTTTGAAAATAGAGTTTCATCTATGAATTTTATTATATATAAACTACCTATAAAATCCTTTTTAAATTGAAGAGGTATGCTACATAGTGATGCTTAAAATATCTAAATCCTTTTTAAATTGAAGAGGTATGCTAGTGATGCTTAAAATATCTTTTTTTTAGAAAAAATTGAAAGGATAACATATATTTTACTTAATTCTAAAATGCCTTTTTAAATAGAGTTGCATGTCTTTGGATGATTTTTTTTTCTATTATGGAATGGTATAGTTTGGAATTAAATGCAAAAAAATAAAAAAGTTTTAGTATTTTTTTTCTTTTGTATAATTTAGTATATTTGAACTGTTCACACTAATATGATTTTTAATGGTAAAGAAACAGACTAGAATGATTGTATTATTTAATTTGCTATCGGGTTGCAATTTAAATAAAATAGAATGATGAGAGCTCAAACTATATGGAATTAGACTTATTATGTTCATCAAATTATTTATTTACTTTATGTATAATTTAGCAGGATCCTTCAATTATTGCACATCTAAATTAATCATAATTTTTATAAATTTGAAATATTCATGAAAATACAATTCTTTAATTCAATCATAAATGATATTTTTGAACAAGCTTACACATCAATGTCAACATTAGAATACTCAATCAAGAGTAATAAATAAATAAATAAATCAGGTTTCCAATCCATTAAATCATCCAACTTTTATATCATAACCTTGTCTAGAAACATAATTTTGAGCCTTGCACAGACATTTTACTTTTGGAATATTTTTTTGTCTTTTTTTTAATTTCATATTCTGAAAATACTTCCAGCCAATTAAATTAATTACCTTTCTCTTATATGTGGAGTAGAGTGTAGTTACGGTTGTTTTTCATAGTATTTTTTATTTATAAATATATTAAAATAATATATTTTTTTATTTTTTAAAATTTATTTTTGATATTAGCATATCAAAATAATCTAAAAATACCAAAAAATATTAATTTAAAATAAAAAATTAATTTTTTTAAAAAAATTAAAATAAAAAACAAATAATATCACATCTGATTTAAATTTTTTTAATAGCGAGAATGACATGACATGACATTTTTTGAACCATGAGAAGAAAATGACATGACTTGGTTAGGTAAAATCATTTTTGTGTCACAAAATTGTTAAGTAATTGCATTATAACTATCTCTCTATTATTGAAGGAATAATGTAAATATAAATAGTTGGTGCTAATTCAATATAAGAAATTTTTGTTATTTAAGATGGGGGAGAAAATTAAAATGGAAGGGTATTGACTATCTATCCATAAGACAGTAATAACCAAACATCATTTTTAATATTTGAAATTTAAAAAGTTTTCAAATTGATAACCCAAAAAATTTGAAAAATGCTACTATATTCCTAGATAAGGACAATCATGATTTATTTGGTGTATTTTTCATCAAATCATAAGTGGAAATTAGTAAAAAATAAAATCCCATATGTTTATCAAAGAGAAAATATATCAATTTTGTTATTTTAAAAATATTTTTTATAGTCAAGTAAATAGTCCTGGGAATTTTTGGAATATAAATATTTATTAAAATTTTTAATTTCAATAAATTTTGTTTTAGAGTTTTTCTTTCAAATAAGTTCATGTCTTCTTATATTTTCCTACAAAATTATTAAAAAATAATTGAAATTTATTTTTTTCTTAAAAAAAATACTATAAAAATTTTTTTTTAATCTTATATTTTCCTACAAAATTATTAAAAAAATACTATACAAAATTTTTTTTTAAGTAAATATTTCACTTTATAATTTTACATTTTTTTTCCTAAAAATATTTTTTAATTAAAAATCTATTATCATAAATTTTTATTCTGTTTTTTTAAACATATAACATCTTGCACACACCAACCAGACGAACCAGCCTATAAGCTCTGCGGCCCATGATCCCGGAAGATTTAATACTAGTGAGATTTGACTAAGTTGGCTTTCTTGCATAGGATTGGCCTCATAACAATTTAAAATTAAAACCTAGAAGGAAAAAATCCCTAAATCTTATCGTTAAACTAACTTCTTGAGGTTAAGCAACCTTTTATTAGCTAAATATATTTTGTTTGGTATAATATCCACTAATTTTACTACTTAAATTGAAGTAATTAACAATTTGCCATCAATGAAAATACTTTTTGAGGAAAGGACGTGTTACAGGTGCCGTTCCAAAGGCTACCTTCGCTGCTGCCATTGAAAAAACCTTTGAAGCTTGAAGAGAGAAGAGCAGCAACAAATGTCCTTCAGAAATTAGCTACAATTGCCATTGCCTTGTATGTCATGACAATGTCGTCCCAAGTTTTTATATCATGATGTGTAGTTTGATAATTACATGCATCTGCGGAACCATCTTTCTGCATAATCTCACAAATCTCTGAGCTTAAGCTAAAATGCATCCATGACAGTTAGTCAACCATAGCTTGCCCAAAACCAACGCTATTGAAAAACTATCCTCGACCAATTTATACATGATTAATAGCAATATCCCAATCAAATTATCAAATTCTTGTAGTGATTAGGCCTCGAAGAAACCGCAAGACAGCAGAGATTAGGCCTTGCAGAATTTTATATAGGCTAGGGAAACATGGGACGAACAGCAATGCAACACAGATGCATTCATTATCAAGTCAGTATTCCTTGTCCTTGTTGCTTCTTTCTGAAAACATAAATTCTAGTCCTTCCATAGCTAATTAAAAAAGACCACCTCCCCAGCCCATCAGCCGAGCGTGCCTATTGGCAGAAAAAGTTCATCGTTGTACCATATGCAGCTACTGCCAGCCAATGCATTGAAAATTTTCACATAATTCGGCGGATGGAGGAGATAAAAATGGCCGTGCCCGAGGCCTGAGTTCACGTTTTGAAGCTTTTAAGAAGGATAAAAGACCTACATAGGGAAACACCCCAGAAAGGTAAACTTAAAATATAAGGTAAAGCTGAAACAACAGGGAAAAGACCTCATCTGAAAACAATAAGCTGTTTGTTTTCCTTCGCTGAACATTTTGCACTAAGTTGAAAATTCATATAGTCATAAACAGGAAAGCGTCAAATGGAAATGTAGGCGAGCAACCCCCAGTACATAGCACGAGCACCTTGTATCACCACCGGAATTGTATCATACTAGGTATAAACCATCACCATGAAAGTATCAGTAAAATTACCTCCACTCTTCAGGTAGTCCAATCAAATTGGGGATCAAGATATCTATATACTGCTCCAATACTGTTGTGCAGCTGATAAGCCAGTTCCTGTTGCTGATGATTCATACCAGTATCATGATCCATCACTGGCATAGCAAACCTACCAGACAAAGTGCCGGAGACATTCTCCATTTCAGCTGTGATTCCGCTAGTAGAAGCAGAAAGATGATTTTTACCATTCAAATTCCCAAATCCTCCACCTACATTAACTGACTTGTTTCTCATCACATTACCCTCTAGGCAAGGGCCATTGGTGAGCGCATTTTTTCTTGACTGTGTGACCCTATTTATGTCCATATTATTTCCTTCATAATCAACACTGACCATACCACCTGTCCCACTGAACTGTGAAGAGATCATTTCTTGCATGATTTTCTCAACAGAGCTCTGAAATTCACTTGGATCAACCTCATTGAACTGAGATGATTGTTGCATTGGTGTCTGAACAGGTGAGTTTGCTGAACGGACATGGTTTATAGCAGTTGATGCTGCTAAAGTATTGTGGGAACTTTGGGAAGGATTGCTGGATGATGATGGCGTCAGACAAGAGAAGGGAGACGAGGGGTTGGGCTGAGCTGGTGGCAAAGTCGTTGAAGAACCAGCAGATGGAATCTGAACAGAAGTCCCAGTATATGGACTGCCGGGACTAGTCATCTGATTTTCAATTCGTGAATTCATGGAATTCTGATGAAGAAGCCCCCCAACAGTGATGGCAGAGGAAGTGGTGGAGCTTGTGCCGAGGGAATTGTTTGCACTTGCAACACCACTGCTTGTGGAAGGATGCATGATGCTTGCCCGTACAGTATGATGATCATCATTCGATGTGTGTCCAGTATTTTGACACTGCTTTTTCTCAGGTGGTTGTTGATCGGAATCATGCACTCCAGAAAATGGCCTGGTTTTGCAAGGGAACTGGGCCAAACTCTCTGGTAAACAAACAAAATGTTATTATGTGAAGTAAGAACTTTATTTAACCGCGAGTCAAAAGATTCTAATACAGCCTCCGTATGATAGTTCCAGGAAACTCTCTGATGAATTTGGGACAAATGGGAGAAGTTTACTGTCACATGTAGGATGTCAAGTAATATTTTAAGCCATTTTCTCTGTTATACGACCTTTGAAGCCATCCCCTAGCAGCTAGCAAGGTGTGTCTAGCAATCTGTTTGTTTGTTTGGTGTTTGTAAAAGCTAGTAGCTTTAACTTTAGGAAACTCTATGCATAAATTGTAGTTTTTATATTTTGGAAAGGAAACTTCTGCATATCATACTTCAATGCATTTTTGGGTGGTGAGATGAATAATCATTCGATATGCAATGCACCCTGCTCTTAAAAATTTAAAATTGTAGGTATTTTTTTCATTTACTTTTTGGTTGAACATAGATGTGAAAGTTTAGAGAGAGTTTCAATCAGCACGAAAGCATTGAGAGATAAAAGATAAGAACATCAAACTGTGCAACTTAAGGCAATCTTTGCTGACAGGATTTGATTGATAATTATATTCGCCAATATATCAGAACAGGTCAAAAAAGAACGTATACCTAATGGGGGAAGTTTCTTTAAGCTTACCTATTGGTCCCTTCCCAGCATCTTGAGTTGTATAGTCAATCAAGTCTTTCATGCAGTTTACCACCTCTGATATCTGCAGGTTGTTCAGTAAACATGCAAAAAAAAAAAAAAGTTCTTGTTAGATTATCAAGATATGATCAGTCCACTCTTTTTCAGAAAGAGCAAGAAGCAGATACCACGTTCCAAATATAATGCAATCACGCAAATATGGAGTTACATATTCATCTTATGTGCACGTGTTTTATTAGGGCAGGATATAGCATCTTAAATTCAAATCCAAAACCTTGAGGGCGAGGTCACTTGGTATGTAAAATTGGCAGGCACTATTGCTACAAAGAATAAAAGACCAAATCAAGCAGGAAGGAACCAAGAGCTAAGAGAGAGGATGGCATGCATCAGTGGCATCAAAAAGAGCCTAGAAAGAAAACGCATGGGTGAAAGTTTAAACCACATTCAAATGAGAAAACGCATGGTTGGAAGTTTAAACCACATTCAAATGAATTCACATGGGCATCTAGGAAACTCAAGTAAAATATTATGCCTTCGCATTTCCAGAACATAATCAACCTGTGCACTACTAACCAATGTAAAAGAAATGAGCTTATTACTAGCCAATGTAAAAGAAATGAGCCTTTTCAAGTCCAATAATCAAGGATGGCCAATTCAAAATTAGAAAATTGCAATGAACTATACCTGGAGACATCGCACATATCTTTTTGTGAATCCTAAATCATTAACGAAAGGTATCTCCAAGGCTTTTGCTAGTTGACAAGCTGATGCAAGAAACCTGGAAAATTCACACCCATAGATATAAGCCAAACAAAAGCCACCAGGAGGAAATAAAAGTTCCACTCTAATTTACCTATCAACATATGTATCAAATTGAGAATCTAAGATGAAATCAAACAAGTTAGCCATCTAAAATTATATCAGTTGAGTTGAATATTTATCAAGTACCAAGCAGAAAAAAATCCAAACATAACTTTTACTACGACATGCCAGACACATCTTAAATACATTAGATTGCAATCCTTGTTTGTTTCCACTTTCTCACAGCCATCATGTCACGGTCATGTTGCTGGATGCTATCATTGATGTCATTATGAAGGCCATTAGCTGAGTGACAATCAGGCCCTACTTGAGAGTCAGAGAATTAAATTACCATGTTGCAATAGTTTACTCAATGTAACTTCATCCAAGTTGCAGACCTAATATTCAGGGGTGAATTAGTTTCCAAGTTGCAACATGAAGGTGGTTAGTCAAATGCCTAAAAGTCCCAGATGATGCAAATCATGTACATAAGTGGAGCATGTCCCACATAAAAAAATTCAAGGTCTTGCAGCACATGTGGCAAAGAGGGGGGAACGTCATGTCAACTCTTAGGTTCAGCAATTTTCATTGTTCAGCAAAGTCAAAATGAAACAAAAAAAAATAGAGTTTTTAACAGATTATATGAACACAAATTATGAAATTTCAAATAAGGGTGGCAAGAAAAAACCACCATCAACTAGTGACAGCAATCAAAAGATTTCAAAGCAAAAGGAACTCACATGTTACAGTTATTTTCTAAATCAGGTGAAGAAAAGCTCAATGAAGCATTTTGAGCAGAAGCTTGGTATTTCTGTGCCACAGCTCCAAGCTGGCTTACCTGCAAGGAAAGTGATCTATAAAAGTTACACAAGAATTTAAGAAGACCTTCTACCTTACCACCTCAATAGCACAAACGGACAGAAAATAAGCAATCACATAAGATGAAAAAAATATGAAAGCGGAAGACTTCAGAGAAGAATTTAACTATGTAACTGTGATTCAGAGAATAATTGACCTCTTATGGCAAGTATTGCAGCAATTAAATCTGAAGTATCATAAAGGGAGATTCCATCCACATGTGCTCCAAGCAGATGAAACTTGTATATGTTGACCGTTCTTGGGCACTTCCATTTAAGTATCAAAGAATGGTGACAGAGAATTGCTCCCTAAAGAATGGAGACCAATTTCCCAGACAAGGAGGCCAAGCTTCTCAGGAATTTATTTAAGACCTCTCCCTTCACCAATTCTTGTTAGGGTTATCCCCTAGATGGCTAATCATGTAAATACAAAAGTTTAAGGGCTGTTCAAAAACAGAATAATTCTCCAATTTTCTAGAAAAATTAAGTCAGAAAATGTAAAACTAGAACTTCATGTTCAAATACAATATTTCTCTATCTAGAAAGCTAAAAAAGTAGTTTTCCAATTTTCCAAATCTATACTAAGTTTAGAAAACCACATTTTAGAGGTTATCCACAGTTTTACAATGCAAGTTTTTCAGTTTTTCTAAAGAATAAAAAACATGAACAATATAATTTTATACACACACAAGCACTTTTTAGCCAGGTAAAATATTAAAAAAAATTCATATTTAGTTAGTGTCATAAATTTAATTTTTATTTTAAATCTAATATAAATATTTTTTTTTTAAGGTAACAATGTAACTTTTTCATGATAATTTTTAATTCAAATAAAATAAAATTAATAGTCTATAATTAGATTACCACAAATAAAAAATAGTAAAATGACTATTATAAATTATGGTTTTTATTTTTTATGAAAAATTGTTGTAATCTTGATGTATTTTTTATTTTTTCAAATGAAAAAATCATTTTTTTTTCAATAAATGAACATGTTTTCCAATTTTTCATTGAAAAAAGAAAAAGAAAAAGGGAAGTTTTTTTCACTTAACACACCCTTAAGGTTTCATTGCATCATTAATTTCCAAATTTCTAAATATTCTACTTTCCTAGATTAGTTTAGCTTGCTGCTTTTCTGAGGTAGGAAATTTTCTAGCTACTTTCATGCAATCTCTAAATTCATTAGTAACTTAAGTTCTGATCATGGAAAGAAAAAGGGCATTCAACCATAAATTCTGAGAATTGAATTGCGCATGTGAAAGCTTAAATTAATCATGATAACCTAATCCAAAGATTCCAAAAAAGCTTCAGCAAGATCCCTACTCAAGAGAAAACATAGTTTACAATACAAATTAGAAGCGCTAAATTAGCAACCTGAGGTATAATCAACCTTCGTGGAATAAGTTCCTCATGACGGCATGCACAAAACTCCCAGGAGCAAATCTAGAGAATGTAGATGAACAAAGATAATTAGGGCATCAATGATATTTATAGCTAATAATAAAAGTATATAGTTTCAAATATCCCCCAGGTGCAATTTATCAACGCCCAAACCTTCAGATCTGGAGAGAAAATGATACGAAGTTGGCCATTGCGTACAACACGAAGGTGCTCAAAAACACTCTCTTGAATTGCTTTTGCATAGTCAAGTACAATTTGACCACTTGCATTCTGATATTCACGAGGCATATCAACATAGAGAAGCTCTTCCAAAGTGCCACTATCATATTTGATTTTGAACAACCTAGGAAGAACCTCTACAGTTGTTTCTGAAATTGCAGAAACAAGAACCAAAGAATGAGAATTGAACAAGACTTCAAATATTATTTCAGAAAAGGATGACACAATTTCTTCACTTTTCATAAATTGTTATCTTTAGTACTTTAAAGTTTGTTGAAGACTACATTTTTTTTCCGTCCATTTGTAAGCAAATTCATATCTGCATCATTTAATCCAAAGAAAGAGAGAAACTCTAAACTTTGATTCCTTTGAGCAAATTCACATCACATTTGAATTTTCTTTCTGCACTCTCTCTTCACAAATCTACTTCCCCTCAAAACTGATCCAAGTGCCTAACAAGGCTAAGTTTCAAACAATGAAATGGATTGCAATAAATGCCTCATGAATTCAATGAGTGAATATTTATCAGAAGATTTTCAGCTTTGAATGGGTCAAGCATCCATTAAGATGAAATTTTTAAAATCTTGATACAGAAAAATATTAGAAATCTTAATAAATTGCAAATGCATGATTACAGAGCATCACATATAAATGTGCAACATTTTGATTTTTGATCCACAAGTTGCAAAGTATAGTAGAAACATTGTATAACATGATAGCAAAGATATGATAAACAGCATATTTTGCTTATCACTAAGTGCCATTCTAACAAATCAATGGCAAATAACCAAAAAAATGGAGGCTGTAAAAGTAGCATACCAAAACCACAACCAGGTTTGCAATTGCATATCTCACAGTGCCACAAATCCTGCAACATTGCCATTAAATTTCAAATTTTTCTAATATCAATATAAGTTCAAAAGATATGCTTACTCAAAAACTTCATATTTTACCCTACGGTTTTCATTCCAATTTGGTCATGATTCCATTGTGTTGTGAAGAATATGGAGTCTACAAAAGCTCAAATAAAAACAACTGCACACATAAGGCAGTGTTTGTTTAAGAGGTAGAATTACACAGCAGAGGAGAGAATCCAAGCTCAAAACTTCTGCATTTTACCGCTCATTCTCTCCTAAATGCATTTATTCATCACTTCTTTTACTTTAAATTGAACAGCATAATCCAGTGTAGAAGTATTGAAGTTGAAAAGCAATGGCGCAAGTCAACCAAAGATACTCTGTTCCTTATCCCCAGGTTCCCCTCAGAAAACATCATGCTATCTTCCTCGGTCAATTAGTATTCGTCTATATAACAGCATACCTGAGGAAAAACACCATTTGGTTGGCGGCTATTTCCATACAACGAAACACATAACCTTTTCCTTGCATTGGAAGCAAAAAACTCAGCCACAAATTCCCTCCAGAATTCAATGTTGTTATCCTACATAAAGACCAGTCACTACAAACACAAGTAAAATGCCAAAAACTGACAGAACACATTTTCTCCAGGAATCAAACAATTTTACCTGAGGTCTATGCCGCTGCTGATAAATGTATTGAGTCAATCGCCTAGCACCTGTTCCAGGTTCATACGGTGGTCTTGCAACAGATCTAACTGGCAAGTTTTTCTGTTGAAACTGTTGTACTTGGGGCTGTTGATGAGGAAATGCCCTCAAAAGTTGCTGCTGTTGTTGCAACTGCAGAATCTGCTGTTGCTGTAAGTAATTCATCTGTGCGACAGCAGCCTGAGGGGACTGCCTGGACATCTGGAAGAACTGCTGCTGCTGCTGCTGCTGTTGCTGTTGCCGTTGTAAAACAGATTGAACAGAAAGTTGATTCTCCACTTTAACAGGTCCAATGACTGTTCCAATCTGGTTCTGTTGTGGTTCTACTTTCACTGAACCCAGACTCTGCAAGGACTGCAACCTACGATGGGGGGCAATCTGTTCATTTATTACATGTGGCTCCAATTTTACAGGTCCCATGGCGCCCAACCCGCCTCGAATGGACTGGAATTGCTTCTGCCCATGTTTTATCATCTGTGGCTCAAATTGTTGAACTTGAGGTTGGTGATTAACAGAAGGGTTAGAAATTTGCTTGCTTTGAACTTTTCCAGATGAAGCAGAACTCACCATATTGGAACCATCAAACAATGAGCTGAAACCCACATCATTAGCTACCATAGAAATAATAGTAGACTCTAAACCAGAAAGTCCAGAGCTTGAAACACCTTTCCCAAAACCCTGATTGATAAGAGAAGACGCACTGGGAGAATTTCCAACCAAATTCATGTTATACTGACCTGGCTGCATGGAACCATCTCCTTGAGACCCCAAAATGGCAGAATTTGATCTTAAAATCGCAGGTGAAACAGACTGGGAACCACCGATTGGAGTCTGTGGCCTACTTGGTATCATTTTTTGGCCTAAACCCAGAAAATAAAAACATAAAAAGTCAGCATCTTAAACCTTTGAAGCCAATTACAGCACACAGTAACCATAAACAAAAGAGAATGCAGCAGTTTTTCCCAAATGAGCTTATCTAAACAACCCAGAAAATAAAAACATAAAAAGCCAGCATCTTAAACCTTTGAAGCCAATTACATCACACATTAACCATAAACAAAAGAGAATGCAGCAGTTTTTCCACGGACAATAGGACTTAACCAAGGAATTGCAGACATCCTTCAACAAATTTGGGCCGTAGATTATTATATAAAACAGAAGAAAGCTTTAGAAGAGAAACCCATTTTTCTTTTTCTCTTTTTTTTTTTTCTCAGGAACCAGACAGAATACAAAACGTATGAAAGAAGTAGTAAATGAATGTGAAAGTAGAAGCCAGCTAGCACCAGAGAGACAGTAAATGCAATTACCCCCAAGTGTTGGTTTATGGGCAACGCAATTGAATGGCAATCTTCAGAGAGAGTGGGACTGTTTTCTGAGCGTTAAACACACTAAACGGAGAGTGACTGAAAAGCACTGTGTGACAGTGTTCGGAGTAGAGAGAGAAAAAAATCTATGTTGATGATTCCAAAAGGGAAAAGAAAAGAAATATGCCAAGGGACCTAATAATACAATGACGAGGTTTATGGGGACCAAAACAATATTTCAAAAAAGCATATAGAGAGATATATATTTAGAGCGCCGTCTAAAACCCGGCCCGGTCCTGATCACAAGTTAGGTGAATAATCTCAATTAATTCCTTTTAATTTTTTTAAAAAATAAAACAATATAATTTAAAAAATAATAATTAAATCAATCTCACTCATGTTTTGACTGAATCAATTACGTAAAACCACCCTTTTCAATATAAAACTTGACTTAAACATATATCAATAAGTGTTTTAATAACACTAATTTGGGATTATACCCGTACAAGTAATGAACTTGACATATTATTTTTTCTAGACGTTAATGACAGGACTAAATAAATCTTATTTTTATAACTTGAAATTATTAAAACTAATTGTTTTCATAAAATTATTATATAAATTAGGTTTATTGCATAAAACTATTTGATTAATTAGGACTATAGATTCTAATATATTATGTATTTGTTTAGAAGAGTGGTAAAAATTATTTTTTTATAATATTTTTTTAAAAATACATCAAAATTTTTGGAATTTTAATATTTTTAATATAAAAATGTAACGAGGTTTTATTTTTATTTTTTATGTTTACGAAGATAGAACCCTAGGGCTAGAGCTAGATAGAGAGACTGGAAAGTTATATTATCATTATAAGGTTTAAATTGACTGTCATTTATAAAGATGAAGGACTATTTTGGACGTGACCTATTTTCAAATATAAGGACTTAATATGATTAGGTTAGATACCTATTACTAATTATGATTTATAGAAAAAGCCACAATTTTACCAAAAACAAAATCATGGGAGCGAAAAATCTTGTCATCGTTCCGTTATGCTTAAGATAAATCTTTTTCAGAATAATTTTAAAAGTACATGGTTTATATCGACATGATGTCTTCACAAGAATTTAATAAATTCTAACTGGGTTTTGATCTCAAAGATTTAAAATTTATAAAGATAGAATTTAGGTAGATTATGCCTGTTTTGAGAAGGAAAAAAAATATTTTAATAATTTATAAAGATAGAATTTAGGTAGATTATACCTGTTTTGAGAAGGAAAAAAAACATTTTAATATATTTTTTATTTTAAATTAATATTTTTTTAGTATTTTTAGATTATTTTAATATATTAATATTAAAAATAATTGTTAATAAATAAAAAAATATTATTTTAATATATTTCCAAAAAAAAATACACAAGCAATCACAGCTCCACTTTTAAACTCTCAAACTCCTAAATTGACATGCAAACCAACCTCTTCCACTCTTATAGTTGGAATTTGGGAAAGCTTAAAAAAAAAGAAAAACGCAAACCAGCCCATTTGGCATCGTTGCTATTTTTTGAGCAGAATATAAAAGGAATTAAAATCTCTCTTTCATGTTGAGTTTTTCTATGCAGGACTAGTTTCTGAAGCCCTTCCTAAAGACGCTGCAGTGCATTGATCTTCTACTTCAACAACCCAGCTAGACTGTGGCTTCTATCACGAGCACCTGCTGAAAATGCAACTGTGGGAGTGTCGAGTGAAGATGGAATTCAACCTAACAACTTGTCATGTACCCACTTTATTTGATTTTCTGATGATTAAAATTTAAATTGATGAAGCTAAAGATAAATTTTGCGAAAAAATATCTTCTCATTTAATGCTCTAAGTTCTAACCATCATTACAACGATCCTACATTGTGATTTACATTATTCAATTCCTGATTTTCAGAACCCTTCAGCCTACACATCAGCATTGTTACAGGGGTGGACAATGAAAAGAGATGCCTATTACCTGGATTCAATTGCATGAGTTTCTGAACTTCTCGGAAATGAACGACGCCACCAAATCTGAAAGGCTTTGCAAAGATTGGGACATTCGGTGCCATGCTTGGAGAAATACCTAAACCATTCAGTGAACAGCACATCCTGCTGCTTCAAAGGAAGTGTAAGGAGTGTCTGGCCCATGGCTTCTTCTAATGCTTTCATGTCCAGTCCTTTTTTACATCTCTGTAACCAACCGAAGTCCAATAGCATTGGCCCAAACCATGCCTGGAGAAGCGCAGCTCTTGCTTCTGAGCAGCAATGCAATTTTCTGGTTGCCATTGCAATCAATAAAATTGCAGAAACCCGGCTGAGCTCATATCTAACCATCGGAGATACACTCCCATGCATGCTAAGCAACTCTCCTTGATGCGCCCACATATCCACAAATTCCTCACCAATCTGCTGATCAAAGAGAATTTCCAGTAGCCAATTGATGTTGTCAACTTGTCTGGAGATTCGTCCAATCAAGGGCTTACTTGTTTCTTTTTTCACCACTTTCCCAGGGGATAGGATACCAGAGGCTTCCTCCATGAGGCTGACTAATGAACCTAGACAGGACTGACAGACATCAAAAAGATCTTCCTTGTTGAGATCGTGTTGATCCTTCTCATACACTGAACTTTTGCAAAGGAGACCCTTAACTAATGACTTCAGTTCATTTCTTGCATTGGCATCAGCACAAGTAGTAATAGAACAAACAAGCTGTCTAGCTAGATTTAGTTTAGAATCTTCTGCGTTAAGCCAGTGGAGTCTAGCCAAAATGTCTTGAGTTGTTGTCTCATCAAATTTAAACACTGCAAATAGATTCCTAAGTCTGTCCTCTTCTTCCTCCGTCCAAGGGATAGCCTCAAGGTATTTCAGACAGGATAAAACACCTTTAGTAAACATGATGCCAGCTGATACCTGGTGATAGTTCCAAAGATCTTGTTGGATCAATAAGCAAATGGTTGAAGACATAGAGATAAAGTTGTCAGAAAAACACATCATTCTTTGGATTCTTGAATATGAGGCTACAAAAGACAAGATCCAAGCCCTGTACTGTAAACTTTTATGCGTTACAGTGAAGGACTTACACAATCATTTTTTCTAACGGTAGGCTGTGTAACAATCTAGAAAACGGATGAGCCTAGTACAAGAAGTTGAAGATCATTACATGGGTGGTTGCTATGACTCCTTTGCTTTGAGCATTAGTTCAACGCAGATGGCAACTAGACCAATGGATTTTTGCTACTTTGTTCAAATCCAGTAGCTCTAATAGCCATAAACATTGTGCCTATGCTCAAAACATTGTCATTCCAGAGATCACACATTTTATACTACCCAACCTAACATAATCCATGTGTTCAGCTCCTAACATCGTAATGTCTCCTAAATAAGATCAAGAAGAATAATCCATTGATTAATCCTTCTTCTATATCTGTATATAGTATAATTTCTACTAAAGTGGATCTTAAAATGACTCTTCTATCATAAGAACGATGAGCAGAATCAATTTTGTGGGCTTGTGACATTGCAGTTGCAATGCCAAAAAAACCATGGGTGTTTCTTCATTCAAATCAGAAAAGTTTGAAATTAGGATGAAAGGCACCTAAAGGCAACATTTTCGCAACTGCCCCTGCAATACCAAACACGCCCTTAGAGAACCCTAAGAAATTATGACAGTCTCAAATCCCATCTAGTATACCTAAATATGGAATAACATGAAGAAGGGATTTGGTAGGATTCTTTGCAAAAAGAGAAGTGTAAATATTTGCAAATCCACATAAATGTGCATGTTGTATCTTAGTAAGGATAGAATAATTGTCAACTCTATTATACTTGATCTCAATCTCTGACTAATTGGGATCGGTTGCATGAATCACTTTCTTCCATCCCATGGTATGCAAGGAAACTCCCTGTAAGATGCTTAAAAAAAAACCATCTGCGATATATTTAAAACTTACATAAAAAAATCTCCCAACTTTATTATGAAATTTTATTTACAAAATAAACCAGTTGAGGAGAACCTAGTTCACTGTTTACCTTAACCACCTATTGAAGGTTAGTGGGTAAGCCAATATTCCAGCAAGCACAAAAGGAAAGCTGTGAACAATTGCGATTGATGCAATTGTTTAATTTCAATCATCCGTGCGCGCATGCACATGAGACTCCCATCAGTGCATGTACACATGTCATACACAAACAACTAAGATTGGACAACGATGTCACAACTGCTCAAAACCCCTAAAAACAACCTTAAATGATCAAGTACTCTACATTTAAAATAGGATAGTACTGTTCTAACTCTTATAGAACAATCGCATTACATCCATACAAAGCATGATTAAGATATAAGCATGGAAGGAATGCTTTAAACATTTGCGACTGATGAGATAGTCCAATCCCAACCATCCATGCATGACATGCACGTGTGGTTCCACATCATGTTTATGCTTGACCACAAATACATCATGCACGTATAACCGAGATTAAACAATCTCAACGCAACTATCCATAGCAATTCCCATTACCGCACAGACTTCAAAATCAATTGCCACTGAATCAATAACATAATAATTTTTTTCCCTTGAACACAGTTGTCAAAGAGACTATGCCCAGCTAACATCTTCAGAAAATAAAATAAAATAATATCCACAATAACACACAACATTTCCATTAAAACCCATAAACAAACACACACAAAAAAAAAAACCAACCCAAAAACATAATAATAATAATAATAATCACCATCATCATCATCATAAAAAAAAAAAAAAACAGAAAACAGAAAGCTAACCTCAAGTATGTCAATGGCTCTATAAGCCCCAACCTTCAATAACCTTTTAGCAATATCCTCTTCAAACATCAACTCAATTGTGTCCCTAAAAATTCCCAAATTCTCCACATCAGGCACTTCTATCCTACACATTTTTCTTGACAAATTACCACCACCGTCACTGTTACATTTCGACCCCAAGTTTTTCCGATATTCGCATATCAACCCCGCAAAAACTTCTGAATTTGCAATCAAGACTTCCGAATTCAGCTCCAACACCAAACCCCCACCATTCTTCCCTCTCAAATTCAGCCTCACATCAAACACGCCCCGACCCGAATCCAACCCGGAACCCGATCCAG